GTCATTAAGTTTCATAAAAAATTACAAATCAGGGTCGGAGAAGCAAGGTCCTAAAAAAATTACAACCCATTTATCTTCTTGCTCATAAGAAAAAATGTTTCACCAAAATAGGAATAAATCAAGTAACAGTAAGACTTAAAACAAGGAGAGAAGCAAATGATACCAGTGAAAGAAAATCCCAGGCCAACTGGATTGAAGCAGGAAACAGAACTCCAAAGGATTGGCTCCAAAAAGAAAATACAATTGATAGCTTGATGAGGAACACTCTGAGCAATTTATACTGCTGCTGGAAAATCTGACAATAAATCTTGATGGTTACAAAGAAAATTCACAAAATGCCAAAAGGGAGGAGGATTATTAACTACAAGGAAAATAAGAACTGGTATAAGAAAATATACTTTGGCATGCTACAAGACTCAGACAAAAATAATATGGATTTTTACATAGTCACAATGATAAATTTTGATTAACCAAAAATTGATCTACCCCACTAAAAAGGGATGGGGACTTAAGTACATAAGAATTTATATTTCTTCCATCTATTCTTCATCTTTAAAAGTAAAAAAAAATAAAAAATAGTATATAATATTTCAAACTGAAAAAAATGAAGCTAGCAAAATGAGACTATTATTTGGAAATATGGAAACTAAATCAGAAACAAATCAAAGAACTGAAAAACATTAGCTCTGAAGCATGACAATAGAAAAGAATCCTGATTTTAAATTTAAGATTTTTAAAAAGTATACTGACATGAAAAAGCTTTCAGGGTTAAAAGAAACAAACATTCCAACTTTTTAATTAAAAAAAAAAAAAGGAAACAAACATTCCTTGCTACACTGGTCTAAACAGTGATTGCTAACTTAAAGTTTCATTAAACTGATGTGTGGGTAAACTGGGTAAACAGGATAAATTTGTATGGTGGTTCATGGAACTAGACTTGGTGGCAATTATATATGTAAAATGAAAAATATGATGTTATATACACTTGAAACCTAAAAACTAAAATTAAATTCCAAATAACACATTTTATTATTCTCAACTAATCACCAAGAATAAGAGAAAATGATTTAATCAAAACAAGACACCATCACACAATGACATTTAATGACTGAGGAAACAAAACATTTGTTGTCTACTACAAAATGTTGAGAATTCAAGTGTTTCAAAATCACAGTAAGATCAAGAGATTTTCATCAGCTCTCACCAAAATACTATTTATTGAAAGTAAAGGGCAAGGCCCTCCCTGGTGGCGCAGTAGTTAAAGCACAGCAGTGAGAATCTGAAGCCGTTTCCGCATGAGTTCGATTCCCACCTGCACTGGAGGTGACCACATGGTGTGGCAGACCTCTTCTGACCCGCCCGCTGCTCCCCTCAGCAGTGTACTTCGTCCATCTGCCTGTTCTGTTCCCCACTCTGTCTCTGGTGAAGCCTCTCACCACCCCTGAGCTTCTGGCCTGTACCTCAGTTCTTATGCACAAATAAATCTTTAAAAAAAAAAGAAAAGAAAGTAAAGGGCAAACCCCACCAACAATCTAAAAAATTATCAGAACTCTCAGTACTTTACATACAATTTTCAGCCAGAAAATTGTACTGAACAGCAAAGTATCACTAATGAAATATTCAACCAATATAGAGGTCTGAAAAGCAGTTCTATATCCTTATCTGGGTGGTGATTACAGAAACATATACATATTTAATAATTCAATGAACTGTACATTTAATATTTATGCACTGCACTCTAAGTTACACCTCAATATAAAGGCATAAAATTTATGGGGTGAGAAGCCGCAGTCTCACGATGATATTAAGAGAACAAAATATTTTGAAGGATAAAAAAAAAATAACTACAAATTTTTTACCTTTAAATCTCAGTTCCACTGACACTCACAGATTAAAGAGATGTCCATGCACACTAAAGACACCAATGAAACCCAAAACAAACTTAATCCTTAGTTGCAGCAAGTTCACAACTGAAACAAGATGTACTCTATCAATGGCATTTCCCCTTTAACACAAAAAAGGTGTTAGGTTTTATAAGACGGACTTAGAAAGTCCAAATAACAAATGTCACTTATAATACTAATTTGAATAGTAACTTTTCAAATCAGACTACCACTAAAGCCTGTTCCTAATTTTAAAATCCTACAGTGCTATATAAAACAAAGAATACAACCTAACTTACCATCAGATTAAAGCTAAGTGCTTACCTTTCAAATGGAAAATTACTGATACAGAAATATCTTCAACAGGTTATCTGGTTACATAGAATATTTATTCTAGCACATTCCCTAGAGTACTTATAAAAAATAAAATGGAGGCACATAGAATGACAAATCTTTTAGAAAAAGATCACCAAAACACTAATGTCATTGATGTTTAAGTAGTTTTTAAATATTTCTATTTACACTACATAAATCAAAGCTGAACCTTAAACAACATCACACAGTAAAACTTAGCAAACAACTTTTCACTGCAAGAAAGAATTGTTAAATTTTTATCCTAAAGTTTCCTGTGAGAGATAAACTCACCTCTCAAATTCATTACAATTTGCCCTTTCACATCATAGGTTTTCTACATCTGCACTACATAGTTCTCATGTCAGTGCTAAATTACTGACATCACTAGCTGATTGACTAGCTGATTGAACTTTTAATTCATTTAGGGCACTGAGTGAAATGAAAGCTTGTTACCTCACATGCAAAAAATTTCTAACCTCACACTAATTTTTTAATGCAACATAAAAATGATTTAAATGATTGTTTCCCTTGAAAATAACATCTTCCAAAATTAACTATGCAATTACATGAGAATAAGCTTTTGTCTCAAAATAGTGTATCAATTACAAGATATGAGGCCACAAAAATTCTGCAAAATTCCTCAAATTTAGGTGTCTCTATGCACAAATCAGAGCAATCATAGGTTTTTATATTAAGAAAGCAAGTTTTCAAAGTAATTATTATAAACTGCTATAGGTCAGTTATTTTTACATTAGGGAATACAATGTTACAAAGTGTTCTGCTTTCCCCCTCCCTCTGGTGAATCCTCTCCTCCCCCCTCAACACCTCTGGCCTACCTCCCAGTTTTTCTACATAAAAATAAATTAAAATTTAAAAAAAGAGAAAGAAGTAGGCAAAAAGACAACAAGCTCAACAGAGGACATTACACATTCAGGATAATATTCATAGGTTGATGTTATTAGTAGTGATCTTATTAGTAAATTGTGTATCATAAAGCATACTAATCTGAGTAAGTCATTAAGTTTCATAAAAAATTACAAATCAGGGCCTTCCCTAGTGGCCCAACAAGTTAAAGCACAGCACTGTGATGCTATCCGCAGCCACTACAACGCGAGTTCAATCCCCAGCCAGGGAGATGACCCACATGGCATAACAGACCTTTCTTGACCCGCCCACTGCTCCCCTCAGCAGTGTATTTCAGTCAATCTACCTGTTCTGTTCCCCACTCTGTCTCTGATGAATCCTCTCACCCCTGTACCCTGGCCTCCACAGTTCTTGTATAAATAAATAAATCTTTTCTAAAAATTTATAAATTAGATTTTAAAGATCCGTCATTTCATTTATTCATGCCTGCATCTCACTGTCAAAAAAAAATCCTACAGTGGAATCTGTTTCCCAACAAGTTTATCTGAAATACCTAATTTCATAAATTTACTAACCTCTACTCCAATTTCTTTTTTTTTAAGATTTTTATTTATATGCATACAGAACTGGGGTACAGGCCAGAGGTGCAGGAGCGTGAGAGGATTCACCAGAAACAGAGCAAACAGGCAGATCAACAAAGTACACTGCTAAGGGGAGCAGCAGGTGGGTCAGGAGAGGTCTGCTGCACCATGTGGACTACCTCTTGGGTGGGGATAGGACTCATGCTGAAGTGGCTTTAGCTTCTTAGTGCTGTGCTCTAACCTGCTGCATCACCAGGGAGGGCCCTGCTCCAATTTCTTAACAAAGTTCAAAGCCTCACCTTGCTCAATGCATACAGATCCAGGATTTTCCTCTCTACCACAGGAATCTTCAAAGTTGACCCTTGAAGTTCCCAAAATTTTGCTAGTTGATCCAAGAAGTCCAGTCTCACTCTGGTCATTGCCTAATAAAAGTATTAAAATTAAATCAGAAATTGGGTAAAAGTACGTTTTATTCAAAAGATAAACTCATTTACCTAAAAAAATTCAAAGACTTTTCATTACCACTTAGGTTGTAAAATAAGCCAATAATAACAGGGAAAAAATACTTTTAATGAACTTTATTCACTTAGGTAAAAGTCTACTCTAATTTATGTAAAATGTTCTATTATCACTCAAATCAAGTTTTGGTAAAAATTGGCTTAAGTTAGCAAAAAAATTAATTGGGTTATTCTGCCTCCAAGTATTCTAAGTCAGTCATTTCATCTATAATCAATCATATACATACTTGAAACTCATCAACTTTCTGCTTCATTGATTCTAAGATACTTCATCAAATATCTAATTACAAGAAACTGAGGAAAAGAAATATGTATTAAAATCTAAGAAAGTAAACCCTGCAGGTGCATTAAGAAAAACTCAACATGATCTATTAAGCCACAGCCATCTGAAATTTCCTCTTCTGAACTCTAAAATAGTTTCTACCAAATTGAAGCACTTTCCAAAATTCCAACAAAACACAAAGATACTTAGAAAAGACTTCAATTTAGAAAATTAAAGAGACTGATAGTATTTATGAAGAGAGAGCTTTATATAAAAGATAAACAGTCCTAGGGAAGTTCTGATAAGCCAAACAGAACCTTTGCAAGCTAGATTTTTTTGGGTAAAATTTTAAAAATTGTTACCAAAGAACACAGGAGACAAAAACCTTCTGACAATAAAAAGTTAAGAGTAACATAGTGTTGAAAACCATGTTACCGCAATAAAAAAAAGAAATTGTCTACCATGGTGATGGCAAACGGGTGATTTGGTGACGGGAAGCCCACGGGGATTACAACTGAGATGGAAAAAGGCACCAAATGATGTAAAAATAAACTATTATTTTATTAAAAAAAAAACTTTCTGTGTTAGTATACGAAGCAAGGAAGAAAGTGGGACTTAAAAATTACAGGTCTCTGAATATTTCCACTGTGAAATATGTAAAGATAGTTTTCCATAATCCCAGTTAAGTGAAAAAAAATGTAATAACTACTTTAAACAATTGTTCCTTAAAATCAGCAACTTCTACTCAGTCACAATTAGTATTAACTCTGAGCCTAGTGCATAAGCTTCTCAAAGTTCTCCAACTGAAGCCTTCACATAACGAATCAATCAGGGGATAGAAAAGGCAATGAAACAACACTCACCTCAAGTTCATTCAGGCGTTGAACCCTGGGAGTGAAACGAAAGCTTTTTACTTCACAAGCAAATGGAGGCTGCCAATCCTAAATAGAAAAAAAAAGTTTCTAACGTGGTCTAAGCAAGGACTATTCATTCCCTTAATTTAAGGGATGAATTGCCAAATATCGTAATGACAAAGATCAACTGAACAGGTTTTTTCATTGTAGAGACTGAAATTTTTTGGATAAAATACTTTTAAGGACTTACCCCTAATATTCTAACACTAAAATTATTTTATCTAAATTCTCCTCAAGTCTCACTAGTCCCATTATTTACATCCCAAAATTACGCTTTCTGAAATTACTCAAGTAGAATGCAATGAGCTCATGTATCACAGCACAGTATCTAATTAACAATGTGAGTTTACCAAATCAAAAAGAAACCAAAATTTGTAACTAAAACGAGTAAATTCCAGGTTAAAAAGTAATTTTAAGTACATATATAAACTGGATGTTTTTTCATTTATGTGTGATATGACACAGCACTTTGCTGTCTAGGTTATATAAATGCTTTTTCAAGATCTAGCTTCTGTTCAAATAATTTTTTAAAAAGACAATAAAGTAAGCAAGCCCACAGAACAAGTATAATTTTCAGGTTGAAACTGTGGTATAACTTAAGTGAAATAGCACATTTCAAGTAGGGTTCTAGCGAACATAATTTCATTTGGACTAAATAATAAACTCACTTAAAATGTGAGGTAATCAAAAAAACTGATCTTACTATGAAACCTAAAGAAATCCACCAATACTGAAATAAAATTCTGCTTCTAAACAAGATTCATATTCATTAGTAAGTTACATCATTCTTTAATTAAATTATACATTTTTTAGCCAAAAGGAAACTTCAATATAATTTCTAACCTAGAAAGGCAATAGAGAAAATGTTAAACATGGTTTAAGAAAAACTTCAGTGCTTCAGGCTTTATCAATATTAGGTAGTGTTGACAGAAAAAGATTTAGGTGATGCTTTTGGAGGATGGCCGCATACATGGGATTCACCAAGGCTGTATGTGTTAATCCTGTGCTTGCCACGAATAATCTGTTATCTTAGTCAAATTCATTCAGCATAATGAGAATAGCATGTTTAAGTTTTAGAATCTGATCTAACTTCAAAAACTGTTTTGTTTCTTGCCCAAGATCATCTATTTGTTATTTATCCAGAATAGCCTCTCTCACAAAATCAGACTTCATTTACCTATAGGGCTTCAAAGAAAAACAAAATAATCTGTTGTTGCCAAATCAGTCCTCCTTCTCCCTCCCACCTAAATTTTTTAATAAACTGTAGTGCTGATCACTATGGTAGACTGTGCCGTGAACCAATGGTCTTTAAATTCAACCTCGCTAACAGTACTTAGTACTTTATTTTTACTACTAGGCAAAACAAAGAAAATACCTCTGTAAGAAGCACTAAGAGAATGGGATCACAAACTTTAATGTGCATTAAAAATCATCTGCCAGGCCCTCCCTGGTGGCGCAGCGGGTTAAAGCACAGCACTAAGAAGTCAAAGCCACTTCCACATGAGTTCGATCCCCGCCTGCCCCGGAGGTGACCACATGGCGTGGCAGACCTCTCCTGACCCGCCCGCTGCTCCCCTCAGCAGTGTACTTCGTTGATCTGCCTGTTCTACTCCCCACTCTGTCTCTGGTGAATCCTCTCACCCTCCGCATCTCTGGCCTGTACCCCAGTTCTGTGTGAATAAATAAATAAATCTTTAAAAAAAAAAAAATCATCTGCCAGTACTTGGTAGAAAAGCAGATTTTAAAACTTTTATATCCGGAATTCTAGTCTGGAAACAAGGCTTAGGGATCTGCATTTTAACTGGCATATTGGACTGACCCTGGGGCAGGTGGACTAGGAACATCATCTGAATAGCGCTAATGAGTAAAGACATTTTTTGACCTTGAACAAATGAAACAAGTGACAGTATGTTTTTCGTGCATTGAAGATGGAGGATTTTAATTAATCTATAGGGATACCTAGTTATCTGCAATTGCGGTTTGTAAAATCTTTGACCCTTGGTTCTTTATAATAAAAGATTTCAATATTTTCTTCCCTTTCAACATTTTCAAGATTAATCTTTCAAATAATCTTCATCACTGACAAATTCTTCCTAATCTCCTAAATTTTCTAGACAAGCGCTGCTGCTCCTCTTACCCCAGGAATCTTTTTCATGGCACCAGTAATCAGTTTGGGGTTTTTGTGTGGTGAGAGCATCCTAAGAGACAGCGCTCTGCTCACCGCTGATCACCTTAGCCCTGATATGAGACCTCCAGATATTTAATAAACGAAGCATCACTGGGGCTTAGAGAAATGTTTACTATGTAACCACAATGAGGCTGTCCATGGGGCCAGGACATGTCCACGTCATGTCATAATATCTCAAACACCTTTTCGGCCACCGAAAGGCCTACAGTCTTTTGTTACCCAATTCAAAGAAGAAAAGTATCAGTTCCCAAATTGAGAGTGGGAAGGCCCAGAGTCATCAGTGTCTCGAGCACAGACGTACCCCCTAACCTCGCCAAGTACAAATAGCCAGAAACCTAGCTTCTAGCTGTGAAGACAAGGACAGTGGCTGCGAAAGACAGACGGGGCGGAAAAGTTCGAGAAAACCAAGTGTACGGACTTCCCGGCTCTCCCTTCTCCCCCGCTCCAAAGACTTGGGTACCTTGGGCGGCCGGATTTTGCAGATGCCTGTTTTCTCCGCCAGAGGCCGGATGCGGCCGATAAAGCTGAGTGGGTCCGTGAACTCCTCCCAGCTGGGCTCAAAGACCGGGCACTCCGGGGGTGGCACGAACTCCGCCGCGTAGCCCCCCGGTCCTCCGCCCGCCATGACGATACCCAGGGAGGGGGCCGTAAGGGAACAGGTGGAGAAAGGCTGGCTGAAGCCCGCCGAAACCTTTCAGGTCCCCTGACAGGGGCCGAAGCTCATCTTTTCGGACAAGAATTGCTCCACACAGGAACCCCAGAAACGCTTCCTTCTCTCGTTTGTTATTGTTTCCTTCGGGGCTTTTCCTCTCGGGGCCAGGACGCTTCCGGAAGTCAGCGTACAAGCAAATCCCTCCGCCACCACAAAAACAAAATCCCTCCGCAGCAACGCGACGCCCCGCAAGGCCACCTTCTTCCTGCCTCCTTTTCCCGGAAACCCAGTGTTGATGCTTCACTCCTTGTTCGCGAAAGTTCCGCGCTGTCCGGCCGCTTCGGGCAGCACCGCCAAGGCCCCACGACTTCTGGAGGAAACGCAGAGTGGGAGTGAGGGGATGGAGATGAAGAAGGACGTGCTCTTCCGGCGCGGAGGAATGTGTAATGGCTCGAGGGCAGAGGTTCTGCTTCCGGCGAGGAGGGGCCAGTTTCCCTTTGTGTATAAATGGACACGAAAACCTGCCGGGCCTAAGCTGAGCTCGCCTACCTGGCTGGCGGTGCTTCGCAGCATCCTCTGATCGACTTATCTGTCATTTTCTACGTAACTGACCTTTTCGGCATCTCTTGTCTCTTCTTTGAAGAATCCCTCTCGGTACTTTATACCCACCCCCTACCCCCGTCTCTGTGACAGCAATTTCCCATAGCACACCTTCCCCACATCCTGCAGACTGGCATCTGCCTTCATTCAGGAATTACTTTTCATGCACATAGAAGCAACAGTTCTTGACTTTTTTTTCCCAACAGTTGACAACCCCTAGGTTTTTTCAACTCTCCACTAACTGTGGCACCACATACCCCATACGCGTTCTTAATATGCTGGAAACGTTATGGCAACTGATCTGACTGCTTATCAAAAATCTCTATGCCAATGGCCATCTCCACTTCGTATTGTGAATAATAACGTGGAAAGAACCGAAGGAGAAACTGATTTGGTGCCTCTTAAGAGGAGATAGTTATTGAAAGGAAAATTGGCTTCCTGGGGCTTTTTCTCATCCTCCCTGGACAGCAATCTCGGGAACCCATAGCAGATAAATTACCAGCTATGGCTGATGACTCCCAGATCTGAATTTCCTGTCTGGATTTCACTCCTGAGTTAAAAGCCACTATATTTGTATCACTATCCACTGGACAACTCCACTTGGTTAACTCAAAGCACCTTGGAGTCTTAGTTCCTAAGAGTTTTTTCAGAGTTTCCATTTTCTGTGAGTGACTTCATCTACTCAGTTGCCTGAGCCAGAAGGACAGAAATAATCCTTTACTCCTGGCTCCCTTACTGCCCATATACAACCACGTGTCAGTTTAGAGATTCTACTACCTAAAAATCTTAAATTGACCCACCTCTTTCCAACCTCATTAGCATTCCAATTTAAGTTCTTTCCGCTGACCACTCTCAAATCCCACTTTACACAGTTGTCAGATTGCTAAAATTCATAATTCATTAAGTCACTTTTCATTTCCAAAAGCAACAGCTCCAAATTACTTTACTATCTGCTGTCCCGTTCACAACTTTCATTTTTCATATTTCATGTACACAAATTTCATGTACATATTTCATGTATACTACACAAATTTTTGTGGTGGCTTTCATGCATCATGCAAACTCACACCTCTAAGTCTTCACAGGTAGTTTCCTCTGTCTGGAACATATTTATACTCTCTTGACATACACGTTCCCTATAGAGTTTTATATATCCCCGATTAAATTGCTACTTATCCCTCATCTGTCAAATATGACTAGGTAGACAGGTGTCCAATAAATATCAGCTAAACGAATTACTGAACTCACCAAATAATTTTGCCTGTTTCACTGCCTCCTCCAGCATTTACAAATAACAAATTTTATTTGAAAACTCTACTAATATGTGGGTCTCCATGGTGCCCAGGGATTAAGTCTTGCACTATTAAGGTATTGCAGCCACTATAGCATGAGTTCAATCCCTGGGCAAGGAGCTGACCCACATGGTTCAGCAGACCTCCTTTCTTGCCTGCTGCTCCCCTCACCAGTGTATTTCAGTAGATCCATTTGTTCTGCTCCCCACTCTGTTTCTGGTGAATCCTCTCACCCCCTACCCCTCTCACCTGCACCCCAGCTCTTGTATGCATTAATAAATAAATCTTTAAAAAGAAGGATTCAAACTGATAAAAAAACAATTGAACAAAAAATACTGAAATTTGTATAGAGCCATAAAAGGCCTTGAACACCAAAGGCAATCATGAGGAAAAAAGTGAGAAACTGAGGCATTATATTACCTTATAGACTTTATAATACAAAGCAACGTGATTAAAATAGCATGATATTGGTATTAAAATAGACACAAGGATTGATGGAACAAAATCAAAAATCCAAGAATAAACCCATATACATATTTGTTGTCGCTATTCAACCAAGGGGCGTGCTCACGGCTACGTTCACCTGAACCCAATGAACCTAAGAGACTCAGAGCTGCAAGAAGTTGAAACAGGAGTCGCAGAGTCTGGAGTCCAGAGTCTATTTATTAGGACAGCCCATGGGTATATATAGGGTCTGATATGCCTTGTACACGGTGGGGTGGGGAACAGGAAATGTACCCGACCTGGGGGTGGGTTGCATGTTTGTACCGGGGCCTGGGGCTTCTTGCAGTTTTCGCTAAAAACAAAGCATTGGGCTGCAGCTGTTTGCAGGACAGAGTGCACTGTGCTCTGCTGGCTTGTTTGTTGGCTTACTGGGGAGTGTGCTCACCCATGCACAACATCAACCAGGGCAGACAGGTACACTTGAGGTTCTGTCGAGTTGGCCACAATATTAGTATTTAAAAATAGCTACTACCATAAAATTGGAAAAGGAGAGTCTCTTTAACATGCTATCTATAACCAGACAGCTGCACGTAAAAAAATGAAGTTGGATCACACAAACTCCAAACACAAAAATAAACTCCAAATGGGTTAAAGAATTAGGTATAAAGCCTTTAAAAATAAAATATAGAGAGAACACTCCCTGGTGGTGCATAGGTTGGGGCACAGCACTGCAAGCTAGCTGCAGCTGACTCAATGTGGGTTCAGTCCCCGGCCCTGAAACTGATCCGCATGGTGCAGCAGACCTCTCCTGTCTCACTCACTGCTCAGTAAAGAAAGTAATGTCTCCTGTCTGACAGAAATCCTAGCATTTATATACATCATCTATTAACTACAAATTTAAAATCTTCATTGTAAAATAAAGAAGTGACAACACAGAACAATCTTGTGATCCAATCTATGATACTACATCGTATTCCTGTATCATTTTTCATGAAAACAAGTTGGTACCACAAGCTTAAACTGCTGCATTCAGACCTTAAACATACTAGCCGCAGTAGGTCGAGCTAAATTGCACCTGAGTTACTTCCGCCATGCAGAGATGTTTGCAGAATTAAAACTACACTTCCCGGAGACCTCTGCGCGGTATACTGCGCAACTAGGAAAACGAGAAGTGGGCGTGTCTCTGCGTGATAAGCCTTCCTATTGGTGGCGCAATCCAAACGCTTGTGTAAACTTGTGAGCGATTGGACAGATTCCTGCACTGTTCGTGGCGCCGCGATGACACTCGATTTAACTTTTGTTGTTTTCGGTTGGGTTCCTTGACGCTGGGGGCTTAGTGTGGCGTGAGTATAGAATTTGGGGCTTGGGGCGTGGGATTTATGGATGGGGCTTTGGGAAGCAAAACAACTGGCGAGGGAGACGTAACTGCGGACGAGAGCAATGTGAGCCCGAAAATGGGGTCGTTAAAATTGGGGACCGGAAGTGGAAAGTTAGATTCCCAAAGGGAGTTCGGAGGTGTTGGCGGACTGGAAAACTGTAAGCTGTGAGGGAGTCAAGACACGATAAAATGGGAAAAGGGTCAGAATGTGGGTGTCGTGGAGTTGGGTTCTCCCACCCCATGCTAGTTTTAGCCTCGATTTCCTCGTTTTTAAAGTTAAGGGACAATAAGCACCTTGATGAGAGTAGTTGTGGAGGTAAAGTAGTAAATGCCAAGTGCTAATCAGAGTAGGCAACCTATAAAATAATATACCTAAGCAAGGATTGCGCAGAGATGGAAGAATAGAAGCTAGTAGAAACCATTAATTTACACGAGGACAGTGTTTCTTTGGAGATATATTGTCATGAGAAAGGCAGTTTCTGTAGCAAGTAAATTATCATGGGAGAAAAGATAACAGACAATTCTTACTATGTTGATTTGTAGAGGATTACAAATGCAGTTCTTTAGCAGAGCATTTTGACAGCTTATGTGCACAATAGGTTAAGTTGCAGCGCTGGGAAGCTATCTGGAACCACTGCAGCACAAGTTCTCTCCCCAGCCAGGGAGCTGATCCACATGGTGCAGCAGACCTCTCCTGTCTTACCCTCTGCTCCCCTCAGCAGTGTATTTCAATCCATCTGCCTGTTGTTTTCCCCTCTCTGTCTCTGGTGAATCCTCTTACACCACCCCCACCTCTGGCCTGCACTCCAGCTCTTAAATGCATAAATAAATTCTTAGAAAAATAGAATAAAATTGGTACTGGTTCATGTACTAAAATCATTGAATTATATGCTTTAAATGAATGAGTTGTATGGATTGAGTCACATCTCAATAAAGATGTTATTTTTTAAAAAGTCACCTGTAATTCTACCACAGTAACCCAATCATCATTTTTATTTTCTAGGTTATTTTTTTTTTACAAGAGACAAATTGACTCAATTTGAAGAGGTTTTGTGTAAAGAGGTAAGTTTGAAGGGGAGTAGTGATTTTTTTTTTTTAAGGTTTATTTATTTATGCATACAGAACTGGGGTACAGGCCAGAGGCTTGGGGCGGTGAGAGGCTTCACTAGAGACAGAGTGGGGAGCAGAACAGGCAGACCGACGAAGTACACTGCTGAGGGGAGCAGCGGGCAGGTCAGGAGAGGTCTGCCACACCATGTGGTCACCTCCGGGGCAGGCGGGAATCGAACTCATGCAGAAGTGGCTTTAGCTTCTCAGTGCAGTGCTTTAACCCGCTGCGCCACCAGGGAGGGCCGGGGAGTAGTGATTTTAAAGGGGAGAATTCAAAGGAGGAAGATGGCATCTTTAAAGTGTTGGTTGATAGAAGAAAACAAGTGATGTGACCGAAGCAGAAACAGATTTTCTAGGTTGGATAACTGACCAGTGGGAAACAAATTCATGCTGAGGATTTTTTCTTTCATAGATTTTATTTTATTTGTTGTTTTGAGTATCAGTACACAGAAGTTTCAGTTGGTACACAGCTTTTCAAATATATATGTATATATATATATATATATACATATATATATTACATCACTGTTCATTTTTGTACAATGTTTGCATTCTTTTCCCATTTGTAGACCCTATAGAATTTCCACCATCAGGTCACCGGTGTGTCATCATCCCTTGGGCTCTTCCCACCCTAGTTTAGGTCCCTTTCCCTCCCCCTCCCCTGCAGAATGTCTCTGATTTATTTTTGCCTGATTTTTTTTGTTTTGTTGTAGTTTTCATTGTTACTATTTTTTCCCCTGATCCCTTATTTGGTTTCCCTATATTCCTCCTATAAATGATACCATCCAATATTTTTCTTTTTTCTTCTGACTTACTTTACTGTACACAGCTTTTAATATATATAATGAACATCAAAAAAATCACGGAGTTTGATTCCTTTTAAAGCACTGTTGTGACTTTATTTGGGGACCGATTTTTCTTACCTAGTTATTAAATGCCACCAATGTCTTCAAGTGGTTATATTGTAAGCCCCATTAAATCACAGCTAAGTATCATGTACACTGCAGCTTACATTTTCAATCTTTTATAGCACATTACCAAAGTTACTGGGGAAAAAAAGATGTTACAGCGTGCAGAAAATTCTGACAGGGAAGCCAAGATCTCTCCTGTAGTTTTCTTTATGGGAAGAGTGAGTTTTCTTTACAAAACAATTCTACCAAAATACAACATAGGAATAAAAGCAATTTTTAATGTTCAAGACAAATTAAATGTACAACTGTGACTCCAAATGGCCATTTAGCATGAATTATATAATCGCCTAAAAAAAAAATTACCCTGTCTGGAATGTTAAGCCAAATGAAGAAAGCTTTCAAGAAAGATGGGGAGAGGTACTTTGGGGTGTCAAGTTGGAAACTGGTTTATAGAATAAGTAATGGGGATTATTTCGTATCTGTTCTCACAAAATTCTTCTCAAAGAATTGAAGAGTATAAGCAGATACACATATCAGATAGACAAACACAGAACAGAACAGAACAGAACAGAACAGAACAGAACATCATTATGCAACTTGCTCAAAACCAGAATGCACTGGCTAATAAAAAAAGTCTCCCTATTCCCTCCTCCTTTTTCCTTCTTCCGCTCTTCCCCCACCCTCCACTTCCTTTTCCCTCCCTATCTCAGTATTCCTCTCTGATTTCCTGAAAATACCTGTAAGATTGTTCACAGTAGAGGAACTCAACATCTTATATCTATGTTATCAGTGCAATGGAGATTATGAATTAACCTTTTAGAAAGTAATCCCTTCCCCCAGGGTAAAATATAATAGGTCCTCTACCAAAATTTCCACTTAATGTCTCTTGACTTTTAGAAATTTTTTTTGCATCTCTTAGTAAAATTTTTATGAAAGGATTGGAAATTTGCTTTGTTGCAGATAACTTTTTATACAAAGGAGACTTTCTTTTTGTAAAGAATGGAGGAAAAGTCTTATGAAAACTCAGAAGTCATAGAATTCCAGGATTTAGAGCTATTTTAAAGAGTAGTAGTGCATTGTAAAATATGAATTCCTCTTAATCAGGCAGGTACTTATGATGATGTTGAAGAGGAATCCAGTCTGTTCTTCTCTGTTCCTGATCCTTCATTCTGAATTTCTGTATATTTGACAGGTGTGAGCAAGGCAGAATGGATTTTACCCCAGTACACAGCCCCATCTGCAGAAAGTAAGATATTTGCTTATTTTCAAGACATCTGTACTCTTAGTACAATCAGGTTTAGGGACACGAGGGTTTTGGAAGTGTTCTTCCAAACTGGATTTGGACTTTGGTAGACTTCATTTCTCTATTCTTAATATGTGAAATCCAGATGAAACACTGCAACTTAATACATGTTAATACCTGAGTTCAGGTCATTTCAGTGGGTCTGGAACAATACCGGTGGATTCTCAAGTAGAGGAGACAATCAACGTGTAAATCCAGGGGACTCACAATTCTTATTCTGCCATCAGCTTCATGACACCTCATTCTCATCCTCATTGCCACAATTCTCACCTACAAAATCAGAAATAACCTCTTAGTTTATTCATGAACCTATTTCCAGAGTTGTTATAAGCACCCTTCTTTGAAAACATAAAATATTGAGTAAATAGTATTTCTCCCACAGCTTTTAATGATTGAGGAAATACTAGATTTGTTTCCTTCATGTTAGCTAAAGTAAATTTTAATTTTTTTCTATTCATATTCACTTGTTAAACATTCTGACCTTACTTATTACAACTCTGGGCTTCTGGTATAATATTTCCCCAATCTGCCATCTATTTTGTTTTGTTATAAATTGCAGGCAGGTAGTCTAACTGGATTAATTTTTCACATGAAGGTTTCTCCACTTTGGCATCATTTGTTTTCTAGCTTTCTAAATTTAATTGTCCTAGTTTAAGTCTCTTCTTTGCTTTCACTTGTCCAACCTTCAACTGACCTTAAACTTGTTTAGTTTTGGTCTATGTATTGAGCAGATATTTGGAAAGTTTACTGGTTTTTGTTATTAGAAATAAGGTTACATGGCAACATTTGCTGATGTGTCACCCTAACATATCCGTGTGACTAGGACAAGCAGAATTGCAGTTTCACTAGAGTCTACCAGTCTGCTCTCTTGCCATTTTACCTAATTACACTTTACCAGCCAGCATGTAAATGTTTCTGTTGCTTGATGTCTTATACCATTGCATTTTCTAGTGGTTATAATCTTGTCTTACTCAATTTGCCTTCTGTTTTTTTTTTTTTTTAATGACTTTTTTACTCCCTGACATGTATTGTGAATCCAACTTTAAACCTTTACGATTTAGAAAGTAGTTCATGCTGTGATTCACTGACCTATAGCATTGAGCTTTCAGGGTTATGAGCACCTTAATTATCAGCACTTTAAGAACATAAACCCCATTTTTATTTAAGAAATCATGAATGTTCAGATAGTTTCATGACTATGTCCTTTCTAACTTCACATAGGCCAACAACTGCCTGCAGGCATGGTGTTACCCCTGGCTCCAGAAGTTTCACCAGGTGCAGGGGAATATCTTTCTCAGATTCAGTGGAGGAGTCAACTCCCTTACCCTCTGTTGAAGATCGCCTGGCTGTCCTCTGCCCTTCTCAGGAGCTTCTAGAATATTACCAAAAGAAGATGACTGAATGTGAGGGAGAAAATGAGGACCTGCTGAAGAAACTGGATCTGTACAAAGAAGTTTGTGAAGGACAGGTAAGCAAAAGACGTGATGCACACCCTTCAGGAGCGCTAATGAAGTCTGTTAATCAGAGAAGGTCAGGAAATACCAACTCATATCACAAGCAGATATTTTACAAAAAAAAGAGTCATTTTTTTTTACTCCCTTCTACCGCAGTCTAACCAATCTGCTATCCACTTTTTGGGCCCCCCATTGGATCATAAACCCCTATAAAGTCTTACATCTTGTTTGTTCTCTCTTAAATTTCACCCTCTTGCCCCTGACTTCATTGTCACCTCTGACATGTCATCTTCTGACATGTGCTTCCTCTCTAACATGAACCCCTCCTGCCTCACTTCTTTAACTATTGTCCTTCTTGTATGTGACATGAACTGACTCCCCCCTATATAAAAGAGGACTCCTTGGCAGTCTAATATCTTTCTAACTACCTTTTCCCCCCCCCAGCATAAACTAGAATGGGATTTACAACAGAGAGAGGAAGAGATAGCTGAACTGCAGAAAGCGCTAAGTGATATGCAGGTCTGCCTCTTCCAGGAGCGGGAACACGTTTTACGCCTCTACTCAGAAAATGACCGACTGAGAATCAGGTACCAAGCAGAAGGGGAATTTTGGAGCTTTGTTTCTAAGTTACACTAAATGAGAGCGGTTTCTCTCCAGTCATTCTCTTAGGTTTTATTCCCCAGAAACAGCTCTGAGACGGAGACTCTGCCTGTAGAATGTTTAGCATTCAGGAATAACATCTTTGAGCAGATTTGGGCAGAGGAAGAATTTGAACTCCGATACAGTGGTAACAGGCGTTAGCCAACCCCACTGGGAACGCCAAAGCTAGGCTAGTCTTGGCAAAGACGTAGGACTTTGTGTTGCCATAATGATTAATCAGGGAGTGGGAATCAACTTAGGAGAGGCAACCCCTGACAACCAGGGCCTGCCGGGACCGGACTCAGCTCCACCTTTTCTGATATAGTCAGATACAGTGGTGTATACTCAAAGAGGAAACTTCCTGAATCCACATAGCTCTGTGATAGTCCGCTGCTGTTACTAGTAAGGCTGCAAACTGCCTTTATTTTAGAGTGAGAGAGTTGCACAATATCAGCTTCTGGAAGATTGTGGATCCTGATACAGGTAGATTCTATACGGTGTCTGGTTTGGTGGGAGTGCTCAGCCAAATAGGCCAATTTCTCTCATTGCTTTCTGTCTTTATGTCATAACTTATTTCTGTGCCCCCTGCTTTATTCTGTTTTGCCTGGCATTGTGCGATGCACTGGTTTGAATATTGTGGCATGTAGTAAATTGTGAAATCAGGAAGTGTGGGTCTTCCAATTTTGTCCTTTTTCAAGATCGCTTTGACTACACAAAGTAAAATTCCATGTTAATTTTTTTCTTTATTCTTCTCAATTTTTTAAACTTGTATTATATTTTACATCATTCTTCCTTTTTATAGAATGCATGTGTTCTCATCTCAGGTATAATCTCCGTAAAAGTCCCACCACCAGTTCACCTGTGTATCATCACCATAGTCCCTTGCGCTCTCTCCTCCCCTGTTTTGATGCCTTTACATTGCCCTCCCCATGTGAATTTTAGGATGGATTTTTCTCTTTCTGCACACATGCCACTGGGATTTTGATAGGGATTAAACTGAATCTGTAGATTGCTTGGTTAGTAATGATTTTGTTTTTAGTGAGGTATAATTGACATACAATAGTTTTAGATATGCAACATAATGATTCAGTATTGGTGTAGATTGTGAAATGGTCTTCACAAAAGCTATCTGGCCTCTGTTACCATATAGCATTACAGTATTCTCCTTGTCATGAGAACTTTTAACTTTACTCTTGGCAACATTCAAATATGCAATACAGTTTCTTTGACTATAGTCATCATGTTATATATTCTGTCCACGTAACTGACTTATTTTAAACTGGATATTTGGACCCTTGACTCACTTTGTCTACCCCACCCCACTTCTGTCTCCAGTAACCACCAGTTTATTCTCTATATTATGAGTTTGATTATTGTTATTTATTTTTAGACTCTACATGTAAATGAGACCTATAGTATTTTGTCTTTCTTCATCTGACTTGTCACAGTTTGTCCTTACATCTTGAGTACTATAAATAATGCTGCACTGAATTGACACCTTCATATTACATCTTCCCATTCAGGGACATTGACATCTTTCTTTCTTTTTTTTTTTTTAATGTGTTCTTTAATATCTGTCAGCAGTATTTTGTAGTTTTAATGTACAAGTGTTTCATCTTGCTTAATTCCTAAGTTTGTTATTCTTTTTGATGCTATTATAAATCAAATTCTTAATTTTCTTTTTGTATTGTTCTGTTAAAATAAAGGAATGCAACTAATTTTTGCCTCTTGAATTTGCATTCTGCTATTTTGCTAAATTCACTGATCAGTTCTTACAGGTTTTCTTTTTGGTGGGGAAAACCTTAGGATTTTGTACATATAACATCATATCATCTGTGAACAAAGACGATTTTACTTGTTTTCTAATTTGGATGTCTTTTATATATTTTTATTGCCTACTTGCTCTAGCTAGAACTTCCAACACTGTTGATTAGAAGTTGCAAAGTGAGAATTCTTGTCTTACTCTTGATGTTAGAGAAAAACTTTCAGTCTTTCACATTTGAGTGTGATGTTAACTATGGGTTATGACTGTATTATATAGTGGTTGTTTCTATGCCTAGTTAGTTGAGTAGTTTTATCATAAGAAAGATATCTGAAAAGATGTCAGTATTTTCTCTGCATCAATTGATGATCTTTTTTTTTCCTTTTTCCTTCATTCTGTATTAATATTAGTCAGTTTTCATATGTCAACCACCTGTGCATTCTAGTATTACTTTCCACTAGTTGGTGTGTAGTGCTTTTAATATGCTGCTGAATTTGGTTTGCTAGTATTTGTTGAGAATTTTTACATCAGTGTTTACATGAAATACTAGTCTATAGTTTTTTCTTCATATGTCTTTGTCTGGCTTCAGTATCAGGGCAAGGCTGATACCAAATGATTTCATTTATAGGATGAATTAGGAAGGTTAGGAACAATTGGTATAACTCCTTTAAATGTTTGGTTGAATTCACCCATGAAGTCATCAAATCCAAGGGTTTTCATTGTTGGAAGGTGCATGGTTACTGATTCATCTGTTTAATGATTTCAAGCCTTGACCCAATCAGAACCTCCTTTCAACTCTGGACCACATTAAGGGCTCACCTTCCATGTCACTTGATATTTGGATCAGAGCAGTATTCTAAAGTATGTCTCATGGTGTCTTCTGAATCTGAAGAATCTTTCCTGGCATTATGCTTACTTCTTAATAGTAGTAGGTGTGAGATGCAATAATCTGTCCTTTACTTTGAAGGGCATATCCTGGCATTCCTAGACTGGATGCCTAAAATTTCAGTGAGCTTTTGTAAGGTGTATTTTCAACTCTCTGGAACATGTCTCTCAACCAACAGTAAAAACACACCTGCCATTTCTTGTCTTTTCAGTCTGACTTAATATAATATCAATAGTGAACAAATGTGATCTGTGGAATGACCATATTCAGGTCCTTTTGGTATTTTAGAGAATAGAAGCGTTAATTGTGTTTTAGGAAGAGATTGTGAAAGCAAACCATTGTTCACTCCACATGAATGAAAACTGCTCCTGGTTCTAGTAAGGAGTGGGAAAAAAGACTTGCTTAATTAATAATTATATTCCATATCCAGACTACCAAGCTACTCTGCTCTACCAAGAGACTGGTAAAGTGACTGAAATTGTAACCTATCTAGTAGTAGTCCACTATCAGTCATCTGGTTTTGCATTGGTTGTATTTGTGAATTAGGTGGAGATTTGATGAGGACCTCCACCCCTATATCCTTTAGGTCTTTGTTTACGATCTTGGTTAGTGTGGGGAAGGGCAATTTTAAAGTCTTCCACTTGGCTAACCTAGAAGTCAAGAAACCAATTTGGGGGTCTTGCCAACTAACAATATATTGTACATTTAGAGATAAGGTCTGAATTCACTAGACCTACTATGAACTATCTCTAGACCAAAATCCCATGCACCCCAGTGCTGTAGGACAATGTTTTAGATGACCTATATCTATGTCATCTCAGACCCAGTATCCAGCACTTGAAATGCCCGGATATTTCTTTCTCCCCAGTGTACAATTATTTGAATAAATGGACCTATGCCCTTTGGGTGAACTGGAGTAATTATTATCACGTACATTTGCTGTGGTGTACCAGTTCTTATCTCGTGGGAAACCCAGCTTCTCCTTCAGGAATTAGTCTCTGGGTCCTAAAACCTGCTGAAAAATGGGTCAAAGATCGTAGGGGTTTTTGGTAGGTAATATTCCTGAACCTTTACCCTAGGAACACTGTGTTCAGTGTACCATCCCCACATCACAGACTCTGAAACCTCATTTTAGAGCTTGCTTTCTTTCTTTCTTTCTTTCTTTCTTTCTTTCTTTCTTTCTTTCTTTCTTTCTTTCTTTTGTTTTTAATTATGCATAGAGGAATTGGGGTATAGACTAGAGGTGCAGGGGGTGAAATGATTCACCAGCGACAGAGTGGTGAGCAGAACAGACAGATCCACTGAAGTACACTGCTGAGGGGAGCAGCAGGTGGGACAGGAGAAATCTGCCACTTCATGTGGGTCAGCTCCCTGGCCTGGGATCGAATTCATGCTACAGTGGCTGTGGATAGCTTCACAGTGTTGCACTTTAACCCTTTGCACCACCAAGGAGGTCCCAGAGTTTGCTTTCTTGGCCCATTTCTAATACAAGTTGTCTTAATTGTGTTCCTTGGGAAATAGACTCTGCAATGGAGATTGACTTGCAGAAGTTAAGTGGGGAATGAATTTGGGAATAACCACCTATGGAAGGGGTAAGGAAAGTCTAATTGGAGAGAAGGTGAACTGTGATTCAGTGACAACAGGCCTCAGGATACCGTGATGTTGGATGGCTCTACAGAGATACCCTGAGTTGAGGCAAAGAGGTTAAATTTCTGTAATTTCTCACAGGGCACAGGCTGTCCCTTGGGCAGATAGTTGTGTAAGGTAGTTCTTCTGAACTCAAGAGGGATTCACCCGTGAGCAATTGGTCTGCAAAATACTGACAGCTGGGGGAATGAACCCATCAGTCCTGAAGTGGGGACTTGGAGCAGGGTACCCCAGCATACACTACAGTTCCCTTCTAGAGCCACCCAGAAACTCATTTATAGTATTTCTCTCTACATTCCTGAATATAAACACCTGATTTTTAAAAAGTCTTTCAATTTCTATTTTGCTAGTCAGTTTATTACATTTCTCAAGTTTACATATGAAAACTTGAGTAAAGAATGTATTTAGATTATAGTATTGAATGATGAGGCTAGAAGATCATTTTTTGTTTCTAATTTCTACAGGTAATTCCCCAGATGCATTTTTAAAATGTAAATACCTGAGATTTTAAAAGCAGAACTATAGTGTAGCTAAATCCTATTCAGTTTAATTTCAGGTTATAATGTTTTAAAAATAATTAAGTCATAAGGAAGATCTTTTAAACAAAAAATGTTACTTATTCTGGATGCAATGTGTGTTACTTCCTATGAGAAATGCAGAGAACTAGAGGACAAGAAAAAGATTCAGAATCTCTTGACCCTTGTGGGAACAGACACTGGAGAAGTCACCTATTTTTATAAGGAACCTCCCCACAAGGTAAGTAATACTTGGTATCGCATGGCTTGGCAAACATGCTTAGCTAGCAAAATATAGACAAGGGTACATAATTAGAGCCCTTCTGTTGCTTGCTAAAAAAGATAGGCGAGGCCCTCCGTGGTGGAGCAGCGGGTTAAAGCACAGCACTGAGAAGCTAAAGCCACTTCCGCATGAGTTCGATCCCCGCCTGCCCTGGAGGTGACCACATGGCGTGGCAGACCTCTCCTGACCCGCCCGCTGCTCCCCTCAGCAGTGTACTTCGTCGATCTGCCTGTTCTGTTCCCCACTCTGTCTCTGGTGAAGCCTCTCACCGCCCCTGAGCCTCTGGCCTGTACCCCAGTTCTGTATGAACAAATAAATAAATCTTTAAAGAAAAAAAGATAGGAGAATTAGCTATTATAGACCCACATATAACTCAGTTTTCAAAGAATGTTTTTACTTTATTCTTCAAACACCTTAGGAAATAACATTGTTTACCCCATTTGACTGTTCAGAAGCATAAAGGAGTAGATATTTTAGATACGAATAGAGAGGAACAAGAACAAACTTAGTGTGGGGACAAATTTTAATATTTGTGTTTCTTTTTTAATCTTTGCTTATAGCTATTACAAATGTAATATGTGGTTTATTAAACACCTAAGAGTACAGAAACTTACCTTGTAAAAGTGGCAGTCGCCTGTACTTCACCCAAGATGTGAAGCTTTTTTTCATTCATCTACTCTTTCACCTCTGTAAACAGTGCCTCTCTGAGCTTCTTTGTCCATTTTGTTCATATTTTCAACATTTTCCTAAAGGTCCTTGTCAAAGATTTCTTTTTCTTTAGTTGATAATGCTAAGTAAACCCAAAATTGTCCTTTCTTTTTTTATTTCACAATCTTAGGTTTTAACCAATTTATTACTCTGTCTAGTCTCATATGCATGACATTCTTATGTGATTATATAAATGTTGACCAATTTAATTTATGAACTTTTTTTTAATGATTTTATTTATTTATGCATACAAAACTGGTATGGGGGGTGAGAGGACTCTCCAGACACAGACTGGGGAGCAGAACAGGTAGATCTACTAAAATACACTGCTTGGGAGAACAGAGGGCTAGACAGGAGAGTTCTGCTGTGCCATGTGGGTCAGCTCCCTGGCTGGAGATAGAACTCAGGCTGTAGTAGTGATAGCACAGAGACTTATTAACCCGTAGGCCACCAGGGAGGCCCCAATTCATGAACACTTTTGATCTACAGAACTAAAGTTGAAACAAGAGTTATTACATTAAAGGATACTTGAGATTACTTCTATATGTGTGTGTGTATATATATATATATATTTTATTTTATTTTATTTTATTTATTTTTTGCTTCTTCAGGTCAGCATTCTACAAAAGACAATCCAGACTGTAGATGCATGTAAACAGAATGAATCTTCAGCTTTCAGAGCAGGTACCAACCATAATATTATATAAATAGAAGCAGATTTTAAAAACATAGTAAAGTTGGATTTGGATTTTTTCCCTCTATTTACAGTGATAATGAGTATTCATAATGTCTGTGGTCATTTAAGATCTTGTTCCTTTTTTTAAAGATTTATTTTTATTTATGTGTACAAGAGCTGAGGTATAGGCCCAGAGGTGCAGGGGCAGAGGGTGAGAAGATTCACCAGGGACAAAGTGGGGAGCAGAACAGGCAGATTGACTGAAACACACTGCTGAGGGGAGCAGCAGGTGAGACAGGAGAGGTCACCATGTGGGTCACCTCCCTGGCTGCAGATTGAACTGGCTGCCTGTAGCACTGGCTGTGTATAGCCTCATAGAGCTGAAAAATGCTGAAACTTAACCCTTTGTGCCACCAGGGAGGACTTCTTACTGAACTTGAATCATCTAAGGAATTAAATTTTGTTCAATGCCGTTTTAGTGTTCATATTGTAAAAGTAAGCTTGGCTTTGGGAAATTAAGACAAATGTATAGAATTAGTGTTTCCCCTTTGCTTTGTAAAATAAAGTTTTACAAAGAAAACAGAACTCCAATAGGAATTTAATCATGTGTTCATCAGACAGATAATTATTATACAAGTGATACCCTAGCAGAGTCCCTTAGAGAAACTCCTTAGTTGTACGTTTTCCTTTCTTTATAGGAAATGAGGCTGAAGTCTTCTACAAAAGCAATGCTGATAATTGAACAGCAGAAAGAAAAACTTAAGTAAAAGTCTTCATAAATTTTTGTTTTCTATTTTAGATTCTAAAGTAAGCAAAAGAAAACTGACCAAGAAAGAGAAGGAAGAAAGTTCTGAGCAATACCACAGAGACATACAGTCACTTACCCTACAGGTACACAGTTTATTTTGTCAGACCAAGACAGTTTGCTCGTTTATAGCCTAACCAAATTAGGAGACATTAATTTAGGAGGAATACAACTGACATTTTTATTGTTTAGCTGCTGTGATTTTGGATTTCTCAGGAAAGGCTCTCTTGTAGAAGTAAGAACTAAGAAGCAGCAGGAGAGGAAACACCCCTCTTCCCCTTGTGAGCTTACTCACCCTGTCTACTTGTGCTTCTAGGTAGAAGCATTGCAAGCCCAGCTGGAAGAACAGACCAAGCTTTCTAGAGAGCAAGTTGAAGGGCTCATGGAGGATAGACGGATTCGCATTGAGGAAATACAAGTTCATCAACAGAGAAATCAAGACAGAATCAAAGAGCTTACCAAAAAGTAAGTGTTCAGGAAAACTGTGCTGAACAGATTTTATTTTTATATATATTTTTAATTGCTTTAAAAGTTAGCAATACTATACTTCAGCAGCACAGGCTAATGAAACTAAAAGGACCGTGAGCTTTTCTGGAAATACTATCCTTTATTTTCTTGAAGAGTGGCTGGGCATTCCTCATGTCTGTTTAACCCATGTTGGTATTTAGCTTGATCTTAATGTGTCAGGAATCTTCTTTTGTCCACTGAAGTTATCTGACTCAATGTAGTAAGAGTCTTTTCTTCTGTTTGGCCCCTCACAGCTCAGAAAGCTATGACTTGACATCCCCGGATAATAGAATGCAGGCTCTCCGTGCGTACTGTTTGGTTCCTTCCTGCCTTTCCTCACCTTTCTGCAGTCTTACTGCATCTCATGCCATTTTTCTAAACATTCCCTTTCTGAGATCATTATTGATTTCTGAATTTCTATGACCAGTTTTCTCCTTACAGTGTTTCTTTGTTATTTGTATCGTGCTGTGTATTTGGCACCATTGACCACCCCCTCTTGGAAATTAATCTCCTTGATGTCTGTCACACCTGTCCTTAGTCCTTCTCCCTGTCTAACCCTTCTTAGCCTTTTGTCTGGTTCCAAGACTTGGTCTGAGCTATAAAGACATCTTTAGTTGAATATGAACACCTCAAATTGACCAGCACTGAAGCAAATCTACTTTTCTCCCCATATCTCAAACCTACTACTTTAATCTTTTTTCATTTAGAGTGAAGATACTATCCAGTTTCCCCAAGCTGGAAACCTTACTCCCTTTATCTGTCATTCCAAGCCCTGTCAAGTGGAAGCCTGAGAAGTCTCAGATCCACACTCTGCCTTCTCATTCTTAGCATAGGAGTTTAGGCTACATTACTGTTTAAGTTGTTACGGTCATTAAAGTGTTCTTATCACTGGCCCCATTGTGTTCCGCAGTCTTCCTCACTGGTATGCGTCAGCTCCTCTGTTTGGTATTAGTTAATGTTTAGAAGCATTTGCTAGCTCCCTCTTATCTTATGATGAATCCCTGTACCTTAACATGAATTTTTAGGAACTTCATCGTCGACACCAAATTAACCTTCTCAGTCTCAACTCCTCTTGCTGTTACTCACCTTGTTCTTCGAGCAGGCTAATACTCTCCATTGTTTATGCAACACTGGCCTTGTGGCAGGCACCTGAAATTAAGCTTTTCCTTCTGCGCATCCCCATAGTGAATCGCATGCGTCCGTGACCGCACTTACCACCGCCTGCTGTTGCTATGGCTTTATTCTCCCGGGGCTTGTCTGCCTCTCCCATGTATGCATAGTAGGAGCACTGTAAAACATCTGTGATGGTTCTTGTCAGGTTATGTCCTAACATCTGTTTTCTGCATTACATTTCCTATATGTTAAAAGTCTTTTTATTGAGGCCTGCGCAGATCCAAACCTGTTCGTGGCTTGGGGTTGCTATCTGCCTCATAAAGCAAAGTAGAAGGTTTGTCTTAGGGGAAGACAAAGTCGCCTTCTCCTCTGACAAAGCCTCTCACATGACTTTGGCATCTTCAGGAATAAGAATCTGGGTTTTCATTTGAGGTAGAGAAGACCATGGATATAACCAGAAAATTCAGAATAGGTATAGTTATTCCAAAAGTCATTACTGTTACCCAACTCAGGCTTCAATCAGTCATAGGTTTGGATTACTTAATAAAACAGTTTCAAAATATGCTACTTATTTCTCCTTCCTTCTCCACCATTTTTTTTTTTTTTT